AAATACGTTACAAATTTGTTTATTCAAATCTTTTAAATATTTCTTTTTTAATAATTCTCTAAAAATTAAGTTTACTTTGGAAATATGCTAAATGCAGCAAGTAAATTAAGTATTTAAATATTTGTCTACTCTAAAGTGAACTTTGGTCAAATTTAATTAGTTTGAATTAAAAGTATAATTTCATAAATTAATATAGTTGGAAAATTGAGCTAAACTTTTGAATTCGTTCAATGATAATGATGTGATGATGAAAAAGTGAAGTAAACTTTAATTAAATATCTACAAATTTAGTGCATTTTAATTAGAATCAATAAAATTGAAGTATTCTAAATACGTTACAAATTTGTTTATTCAAATCTTTTAAATATTTCTTTTTTAATAATTCTCTAAAAAATAAGGAAATATTCTGCATATTTCCAAAGTAAATTACGTAATTAAATAAATGTCTACTCTAAAGTGTTCAAATTTAATATTAAAGTTATTTATTGGCATAACAGTTTTTAATTAAAAGTGTAATTTCATAAATGAATACAGTTGGAAAATTGTGATAAACTTTTGAATTCGTTCAATGATAATGATGTGATGATGAAAAAATAAAGTAAACTTTAATTAGCTAAATACGAAAGTGAAAATCATGGATTTGGAATTTTTTCATAGATTTATTTTCATTTACATTTATTAAATTTACTATTATTTAGGGATATTTATTTAGGAAATTGTACGAAAAAAAAAATTGTATTTCATTATTCTTGTATTATTGAACAAAAAAAATATAATTTTCTAGTTTTTTATACAAATTTCTAAGTAAAATTTTCCATATCAGTTGCAGGAATCTTCAATTAGTCCTTCAGCTCCGCTCGCTCTCAACAACTTCAAGTATTATCATTGTCCATTTTTTCAATGAAATTCAATTCGTTCAATGATAATGATGTGATGATGAAAAAGTGAAGTAAACTTTAATTAACTAAATACGAAAGTGAAAATCATGGATTTGGTGATTGGTGATGAATCGATTTGTGCATGATTCAAGTTCACATGATTTTGGAGGGTACGTTTTGTTTATTCTTTTTTTTTTGAGTGGGCGACGATCGATGAACCTGTGTGTGCGTCGGATGGACAGACTGATGCTCTTGCATGCATGTAACGGTCATAATTAATGTGCAAATCCTGCGTGCGTATGAAGAGAGAGAGAGTTGCAATATTATCGATTGGAAATGTTTTGTTGTAGTGTGGAAAAGGGGCATTCGCGCGCGTTTTCGAGGTGGTTGTACCCCGACGCCGGTCACGGTTGTAGAGAGTGAAATCCAGGCGGGCGGCGGTCGTGGCGGCGTCGCGACGCGCGGTCCGGGGGCGGCGCCTGCGTCGGACGCAGAAACTGAAAGTGAAAAGGGAAAAGCATCGTCGCCGGCAACATCATCGTTGTGTAAGTTTGTATGTGTATGCATATACACTTACGTAAAGGTGTGTGTGTATGAAGGCCCCCACTCCGTGGCCCCTACCTTTCGCTTTCGAGCCGCCCCTCTCGAGCACTTTCCCCGGCAATGCACACGCATTGCCCTGCAGTAGGCTGCCGAGTGAGCCGCTTGCAAGACGTGCCAAGGTCATACACCAAACATACATTTCTGTGTGTGTAAATATATATATAGAGTTACAACAACATTAGATATATATATATATTTAAAAGACATCATATAGAAATAGTACGAGGGACGTTTATTATATATTTAAAAGAAGAGACTTTGAAGAAGTAGAAGGGTTTTTGGAGCTTCGCGGTTTTTGTTCGATCGTTGCTGGACGACGATTATTATCATAGTTCTTGTTAAATTTGAGCAGTGCTACTGCTCTGGGGGGGACAAGAAGTTGTTGTTGTTTTTTTTGGAGTAGTTTCGGTTGAGGTATGGCGCCGCGACGGCATCACGTCCAAGTGCAAGGACTCCTCGGAGTGGTGGATTCCTCCGAGGAGGCAGCGGCCGGCGTGACCAGGTGCTGCGTGCCAACGGGCGACTGTCTTCGCGCCCAGCAACAGCTCAGTCCCAACAACAACGATCCGATGCTGATCTCGCTGGACGACCTGAGGGACACGGTGCGTGTGACCTGCAACAACGAGGCCTGCATCGTCGGACGATTCATGCATCGCGAATGCTTCGATCAGTGGGAGCAGACGGTGCTCGCATATCTGAAGACGTGCGGCAGGGCGAGATCGTGGTCGGAGAGGCAACGCCATCAGAACCTCTGGACGAAGAAGGGCTACGATCTTGCGTTCAAGGCGTGCGGCTGCAAGTGCGGCCGTGGACATCTGAAGAAGGATCTCGACTGGATGCCGCCGCCACCGACTAGCAACATCTTCGGACGGGTGGAAGAGATCGAGACTGGGAAGAAGAAAAAGCGCAATCGAAATCGTAATTCGCGTCCAGTTCTGGCTATATCGGCCGCTCATCATGCGGCCGTCTCCACCGTCGCCGCCCCCATCGAGGCGAGGCAGAGGACCGGAAGTCTTTCCTCGAGCACCGGGTCGTCTTCGCCACCGGCCACCTCCAGCGAACCGAGCGTCTCACCCATTCACGCGCACACCAAGAAGAAATCCAAGTTCGAGTTTGCCGACAGATCACGGTAAGTCATCTACTTCAACTAATCATCATAATATTAAGGAAATTTCTCATACTACAAAACTGAAAACTTCCCTCAATGTTACAAAATTTACTAATCAAATGCTT